TTGTCGTTTTCCTGCCACACTATCAATGGATTTAGCTTTAACAGAATCAGGTTCAGAAGACTTACCTTTAGGAGGTGTTGATGTGAAAGGAGCAGAATCATTGTCTCCCAGAGGAGTGGACCGTTTGGATGTTCCCCCTTGGTCCCAATTCCCTCTTCTTGAATACTGTTTCTTGAAACGGTTGCCAATTTGTTCTTCAATGGTAGTTGCTGTTGAAATGGCTTCATTGAGGTAACCGATTGGTTGCAATGCGATCTGTTCTTTAATATCCGCACGCAAACCACCAATGAATCGTGCAACCAAATGTTGTTGGCTTTCCAAGAGGTTGGTTCTTGCACCTAACCGATGAAACTCTTCGGAGTAATCAGCTATGGATCGGGAACCTTGTTTACAATTCTGGTATTGATTGTATAAAACTTGCTCAAAATTGATGGGGAGGAAACGTTCACGCATGAGTTTCTTCATACGCTCCCAATTACGAATGGGTTGCTTCCCATAACGATGCCGATTGATTTCCAACTAATCCCACCAAGCTGAAGCTCCCCCTTTCAGTTTCAACGCGACTAAACAGACCTTTTTATGTTCAGGAGTACCCATGTAGCTAAAGAAATTTTCCACGTTCTTTACCCAATCTAAGAATCCTTCAATATCCATTTTTCCATTAAAATTAGGAAGATCAATCTTCATTTTATATTCACTTTGTTCTGGATTCCTAATGGGATTAGGGTACCTACCAAAATGTTCCCCTTCAAAAGCAATCATTTCATTGTCTTCATCGCTTGAAGAATCAAAAAGTACCTCATGCCGACGCTGAAACAGGGGATTCCGATTGATTTCTTGATGGAAAAGGCGTGGTTCTTGAAAGTTTCTTGGACCTAGACGGGCCGCCTGCTGTCTTCTTGGAGGGTTGACATGTCTTTCTTGGGGATACGTCTGATCATGACCCTCTGCCCTCCCTTCTTGGCCCATTCTTTCTTGCGGCAGGGGCGCGTTTAGCACTGGAGTTTGATGGACACTCATAGCTTCTAGCTTTTCGTGAATAATCTCCAGAATTTGTTTAATCTCGCCGACATCCTGTTGGATGGCTTTCACCTCTCCTTCAACCGACAGCAAGCGTGCGGTTGACGATCGTGGCGAGAGAATGGAGCTTTGCTCCATTTCTTTGTTGGCGAGGGAAGAATCTCCAATGTTGATTGACTTCTTTCCCGCCATAACAACCCAGAAAATCGGGATGCTCTGATACCAATTTTGGTGTACACAATCTAGGTAGAAATCTTGAAGAGAATTGTATTCTTTAAACACTGAAATCCAGCAGCTATTTACAGGGGCTGCTGGGATAACAACTACTCAATAACTAAAATAACAGCAACCAAGAACTAACAGTTTAACTAACTAACCGACATAACCTACTAACTACATCAATTTCCCACGTCTAATACTACTTCTTTGCATCCTCTTGAACTCATTCATGCTAATGTATGGGGCCTTGCCCCTGAAATTTCTATAAATAGTTTTAGATATTATGTCTCATTTGTTGACGACTATTCAAAATATACTTGGTTGTATCCTTTAAATCTGAAATCTAGTGTTGCTTCTATGTTTAAAGCCTATAAACCTGTAGTTGAGAATCTATTAGAACACAAAATCAAAATACTACACACTGATGGTGGTGGTGAATTCATAAATCATAATCTTGGTTCCTATCTTCAACAACACGGTATTTTTCACCAGAAATCCTGCGCCTATACACCGCAACAAAATGATGTCACTGAACGCAAACATAGGCATATCATTGAAGTTACCTTAACCCTTATGTCTCAAGCTTCCTTACCTATTAACTTCTGGCTGTTTTCCTTTGCCACTGCTATCTTCGAATCTCGGCAACAAATCTCCCTTTGAGCTTCTTTTTCATAAATCATCAGATTATTCTTTTTTGAAAACCTTTGGTTAAGCACGTTATCCACTTCTTATAAACTGGAACCAAAATCTTCCCAATGTGTGTTTCTTGGTTACCCCTTTGATTATAAATGATACTTGTGTTACAATATGAGCAATAGTCGTCTATATACCACGCATCATGTCATTTTTTATGAAGACTTATTTCCCTTTGCTACTACCTCTCCTTCTGCCAATTCCTCTACTCAGTCTTCAAATAAATCTATATTACCTCTCTGTCTTTTATTCTCTTCTGATTCTTCGTTACCACAATCTGTTGGGAGATCCGAGATTGATAGTTCTTCCCTCAATTTGGCTTCTTCGAGTAACTCACATGCTTCTTCATCGGCTAATGTTCATGTGCCACCGCATATGGTTGTATCTTCCGGACTGGATCCTCAAAACAATATCCAATCTCTTTTGCCTATAACTGAGCCTTCAAATGTAAATGTTCCATCTAATAGAACAGCTGCAACCGAGTCAACTAATGTGAATGAAGCTACTTTTCAGACTACTGATATAGTGGCTTCTGCTATGCCATCTAATATATCCTTTGTTCCCCCTGATATTCCACTTCATCCGGCTCCCATATCTAATTCACATCCGATGCAGACAAGGAGCAAGTCAGGGATCTTCAAAAAGAAGCTTTATGTAGCCACCGTGACTTCCTCTGAAGAGGAACCTGCTTCCTTTACCAAAGCTGTTAAACTTTCTGTTTGACGTCAAGCCATGAGTGACGAATTTGCAGCCTTACTCAAACAAAACACATGGTGTTTAACCTCGTTACCTCCTGGCAAAAATGTTATTGGATGTAAATGGGTATATCATATCGGATTAAGAGGAATCCTGATGGAACAGTAGCTCGGTATAAGGCTCGTCTCGTAGCTGAAGGCTACCATTAAGAGGAAGGGGTGGATTTTGATGAGAAGTTTAGTCTAATGATAAAGAAATCTATTGTACAAATTATAAAATCTCTTGTAGCTCAATTTGGTTGGCAACCTTGGATGTTAAAAATGCCTTCCTCCACGGTGAACTTCAAGAGGAAGTCTATATGGTTCAACCACAAGGGTTTGTTGATTCTCATCACCCTTCTTATGTCTGCAAGCTGGTTAAATCTTTGTATGGGCTTAAACAAGCACATTGTGCTTGGTTTGACTGCTTTACTTCTCACCTCTTGGGTTTCTGGCTTCGTCTGCTGATTCATACCAATTTGTTCGACGATTGGATGATTTTATTACATACTTACTATTATATGTCAATGACATCATAGTCACAGGGACTGGCCAACAGTATATTGATCTCCTTGTATCTCAACTCAGGCACCAGTTTGAAATGACTGATTTGGGTAATTTAAAGTATTTTCTTGGAATTGAGGTCTCTGCCACTAAATCTGGTTTGTTCTTGAATCAAGCTAAATACATCAAAGATGTTCTTACCAGATATGGGATGTTGGCTGCCAAATCCTGTTCCAGCCCCTTAGTTTACTCAATTACACTGCTACTGGACAGCCTTGTTCGACAAATGATGCTCGGAATTACAGGAGGGTTGATTGGCTCACTTCACTATCTTAGGGGTACAAGACCGGACATTGCCTTTGCTGTTGGCAAACTATCACAATTCATGCATGCCCCTCTTGATTCTCACTTAGTTGCTGCAAAGCGAATCCTTTGGCATCTAAATGGTACTGCTCGTCTTGGAATACATTTTCACCGAAGTTCTTCTGTCTCCTTTGATTTTCTGACTCAGACTGGGCCGGAGATTCTGCTGATAGGTGTTCAACATCTGGTTTTGTCATTTTCTTGGGTCCTAATCCGGTTTCTTGGAGATCCAAGAAGCAATCCACTGTTTCTCGAAGTTCAATTGAGGCGGAATACCGTTCTCTTGCCTCTACTGCAGTAGAACTGTTTTGGATTAAACAAATTCTCAAGGATCTCCACATTTTTAGCACGAAACCTCCTACGTTATGGTGTGATAACGTATCTGCTATTCAATTAGCTCGAAATCCGGTCTTCCATGGCTGTAACTAAACATGTGAAGATTGATTTTCATTTTGTCCGTGAGCGAGTTGTTCGTAATGATATTGCCTTGCAGTACATATCTACAACTCAACAGGTTGCAGACTTATTAACCAAACCTCATACCAATTATTGTTTTTTAGATCCAAACTTCTGCTTCAGCCCGCATCAGTTTGATGGGGGATGATAACTGATAATCTTAGTTATAGTTCTGTTATAATTTAGTTATCAAAATCAGTTGCTATTGTTGAAAGCCTTGTATTCTTTGCCTATATACAGGCTTTGTACATTCTGATTATTAATGTGAAGCATACTCTATTACTCTAAATAGAGTTTATTACATAGAGGACACTAGGAGAAATTCAATAATTTCTCAATCAATATGCCTAACAGAGGGGAGCTGAACTTGAAAAATATCCAGAACCTTTAAAGGAGTTGTTCGTAAACAATAATTTATTTTGTCCGTGAGCGAGTTGTTCGTAAAGATTGATCATGAAGGTATAAGAAAGGGATGCAATCACCCGTCTCAAAACTCTTCTGACAAAGAATACACAAAGTTGGGGTTGAAGAAGAAGAAAGTCTATCTCATATTTCTCCTTCCCTCTCTCGTTTGTTTAAAGGAGTATAACCATGTGTTCCACTTGGTGTTCAGCAGCTGTAGTGTGCAAAATACTTCATCAAGATGATATGAAAGACCCTTCTATTACTTCTCGAGCTCATCACTAATAGATTTTACTACTAAAACATGCATGAAGATGTATGATTATGTGCCCAAACAATTATTATTGTATTATTTCACACTTCCATTGTCACTCATACTCAGAAGTGCTGCAATCCTATCCATGTAAAATGTCTGACAGAATATGAACTTAATCCAAACATAGCCTTTGAATAGGCAAAAGTAAATAATTTAAGACCAGCATGTTATAGCGTGAACATGAGTCAACGACTTACAAGATTTGTTTTGAATACAGTTATTTATGAAGTGGCACCAAGATATCAACGCTCAATTTTGACCCAGACGTGCCTCTCCAGAAAATGAGTAGTTACCTTACAATAGCATAGCAGAACAGCAGTAGAAAAGTCGTTGATTTGTAAGAGTCTTCCCACGAGGCCAAAATCTGAAGACGATTAGCCAATTCCACAAATGGAAACAACAGTTCCTGGACAGTGAGAAAGAAAGATTCAGCTACTAAATACTTCATCTCTCAAAGAATTCAATATTTTTCTTTGGTTGACTGTCCTAGCATGCAAAACTTACCACCCATTCAGTATTTAAATTTATTAAAGTTCACTCAAAAGGAGAAGTGGGGATAAAATTCCTCATACTTCTTCTAGTATGTAAAAAGATAAAATAAAAGACGCTGAAACATGACAACAATAAGTTGTTGATCAAGAGGATATACAAGTCCATGAGTTAAATCAGTACTAGATTGCTCGCATATTTTCCAAGTATCAGATAGAAGGAAGTTTATTTCTCCAAGAAACTCACTAGTTTACCTTCATCACTGCAAGATTTGTATCAATACCCTCCACTTTCACTTGGTCAACAGTCGCTTGAGCAGCTTCAGCCCTGCCTGAATCTGATATTGATTGTCTCACTGCAATTTCCAAGGGATTTGTCTCACCAACCCAAACATCTCCAATTAGGAATATGTCGCATTCAAAACTTATCTCTTTCTGTAAGGTGAATCCAAGTTGACTTAGTGCTAGAAGAAAAACTGGATATGGTCGTCGATGCTGCTTTGCAGATGGACTCCCAGAGCCATCATGCTGGAAACAATCTGTATTTAGCAACATCAATCGACTCAAGAGCGTTTCCAGAATTGAGTCTCCCCTAGGAAGACTTTCTGTCAGATTAAAAGTGAGTAAGGTTCTGTAATGTGATGAAAAAACATGGAAAGCTTCTCTAATTGCACGAATTCTGAAAATGCCAAAAACTGCCCTCGCAAGTACTTCTGATTTCTGAACTTCATTTAGATTGTGCTTCCTTATAAACTTATGTGCTCGCAGGATCTCAAGACAGATATCCAGCCAATAATCCCGGCGAGAACTGCCTTTGAATTCAGGAAACTCTAAATAAACAGGTTCTATCCTGTAAAGGATCATTAAACAGTTTACCAGTAAATAAATAAATAAATAAAAATACCGTCACAGGAAAGGAAAACAAAGTTAGAATCTAGTGACTGCAGTATATAAAAATACTAAAATTATTCAAGAGATAACATACACAGATGTTGACTTGTACATAACAGCTTTATCAAAGAGACGGGCACCCAGCGGTCCTGTAAGTTCAGGTTTTATTTTCTGCTTCATGTCGGCTCCCAGGTCATATTTAACAGCTTTGTCGTATAAACCAACACCCAATGACTCAAAGTACAAGGCATGACTGGTCAGTGTCAACCTCCCTGAAAATAGATAAACCAAATAAAATGTAGATGTGGGGGAAAAACACTTAATGAATATCTTCACCTCAGATAGAACAATCAAGTGAATGCTACATCGCACAACCCCTCTAAGACTATTCTTTTGGACTCCTACAGTAGAGAATGTTCAAAAGCCTCTTTCTTCCTGGAAAATGACGGATCTTTTCCCTCAGGGGTGGGGCGGGAGTATGCAAAATTCTCCTCCATAGCCCATTCATGATTTATATATATTATATGGTGATTTAATCTTGAAATACATTTGTAAGAACAAGACTTACCAGGCCATGCAGAAATGCCAATATGCTGAAGGACTGGTTGAGTGGGTACTGTACCATCAATTTCAAGGACAATTTCTCCTTCGGAAAGATGAAGATTTCCAGTTGATGGGTGCAACGAATTTTTGGTTGCCTTAATAACCCTGCAAAACAGTCATCATAATAAAAAAATTTTAGTTCATGAACAATTCTATTCTGAAACAGAAAAGTTCATGATCAAGAACAGATAGGTCCCATCTTTAGACTTCTTCATTGAGCATTTGATATTCACTGATTGAAAAAACTAAACACATTACAAAACTTGCAATATATTTATGTTACAAGGTGCAATTATCGTACACCTCACACAAGCTTGAATGTAACAACCCATACTAAACTTTAGGAACTAAGGCAAATCAAATAATATTTTATTGAACCAAAAACATGACTACAAAACTAAACCAAAATTGTTTGTTGGTATCAAAATAGACAAAATGAAAAGGAGGACAAGTCCATAAAATATAGAACAAAAAATTAAAAAGATCCATAAAGAAGTACAAGAAAGAATAGTACGGCTGCTTGCTACTAAGACTGAGCTTTTTATTTTTTAGAACATACTGATTAGCAAGGAGAAGAGAGACCAACGCCAAGCTATATAACTTTCCTTCAATACCTCTTCCTTTTTAAGTAAAAAATCTTTACCTCGCTTCATCTTAGCGATCGTACGATGTCATGAACATATAAACATGCACAGCTACAAAAATGGCAACCATGGTAAGTGCCCTACAAGAGGCTCGTCCCCATATTGCCTTGATAGCATTGACTAAATAATTATAGAACATCATTGGAAAATGAAATGTGATGATCTCAATACTTCTATTGTAATAAAGTAATGGGACTAAAGCAAAAACACTATTTTAATTATTGACTATAATCTAGTACTTCCAGTAATATTTTAAATCTTATTTATAGAAAGTCATAGATTCCATTAGTTGCTCTCTCTGAAAAATCGTAAAATTCTTGAAATCTATTAACACTAAAATTATAAGAATAAGGCCTAATAAGGAAAAAGAAATTAAAAAAGTGAATGTATCATTAGCATGCAGTTCGAGAATCAAACATGATTTTTTAAGATTAGGGTCGGGAACAATCTGTGCTGGCACCTTAGTTTGGGTAACATGTGTGTGTCCAACACGTGTCAAGATAATTTAATACCCCAATATTTGTTGAACATGCGCTGGACACTTATTAGGATAATGTACACTTATCAGACACTAATGGAACAAATTGAATACAAATTTGACATTTGTTTGTGCAGAATGTATGTTAAAGGCTCAAGCACAATAAAAATGTATTGAACACTCGTGAAAATATGACAAATAGTTATGAGAAATATGAAGTAAAGTGTTAAAACTTCCTTTTATTTATTTAAATAATCATAAATAGAAATATAGGAAAGAAATTATATAAGAAAAATCGAGACTAAAAAACATGAATAAGCTTATTGATCTTGAATTTCATTATTGTATAAATATAATAAAAAAAATTAAAAAACCCCTTGCCCAGTTGACAAGAGCGTGGGGACATTGGTCATTACTGGTTTAGAGGTCTTAAGTTCAAACCTTCTGGTGAGCTTAATACCAAAAATCCTTGATGTCTCTCGAGTTCGGGTCTTGGGGCGGACACGGGTGTCCCTGGGTATAGGGGAACGAAGCTCCGACTCTCAGTTCTCAAAAAAAATTAATAATAATAATAATAATAAATATAAATAAATTTTAAAATGTATATTCTAATAAATATGTACTTGTCATGTTATTGTCCGAGATTCTTAGAAAATGATGAGGCATTGACTCATCATATTTGTGTTGTGTCGCATTTGTGTCCATGCTTCTCTGTGAACATTCAACTAAACAAGTAGTGAGTGCAAGAGAGAAACAAAAGGTTGCATCAAATAATTACAATTTCCAGCAAATGAGATTCTGCTAAAAATCGTAAAGGTGAAGAGAACCAGTGTGGAAATTTATAGAACTAATGAAATACTTCTTCCAAGATTTTTTTATATTAATGATATGTTGCATTGTATAGGAAGAAGTTTCAAGATTTCTTTTTATGTTACAAAAAGTTCCAAGATTTTTTTAAGAATGGCATCATTAATGCTAGTCTCAACGAAACCTATATTTGTCACATCCCAAAGAAAGTGGATGCTCGGAAGGTAGGAGATTTTCGGCCCATTAGCCTCATTTCTTGCCTCTACAAGATTATAGCTAGAGTTCTCTCAGAAAGGTTGAAGAGTTTGTTGCCACACACTATTACCAAGGAACAATCTGCATTTGTGGCCAGAAGACAAATCCTAAATGCCTCCTTAATTTCAAACAAAATTATTGAGGATTGGGATAGAAAAAAGAGAAAATGAGTGGTTATCAAGCTTGATATTGAGAAGGCTTTTGACAAAGTGGATTGGGACTTCCTTGATGAAGTTCTTGCAGCCAAGGGTTTCGGACATACGTGGAGAAAATGGATTTGGGGGTGTATCTCATCAACAAATTTCTCAATCATTATAAATGGTCATCCTCCGGGTAAAATTACTGCTTTTAGAGATCTTCATCAAAGTGACCCCCTCTCTCCCTTTTTATTGATAATGGTTGTTGATGTCTATAGTAGACTTATGTCACATGCACCAAACATCAACTTTTTTAAAGGTTTTGATGTGGGAAACAACTCATTGGCCATTCATCATCTACAATTTGCTGATGACACCGTCCTCTTTTCCCCTTATGAAAACCTCTCCCTCACAAAGATGTTCAACATCATTAGGCTTTTTGAGGAGACATCGAGGCTAAACATAAATCACCAAAAGTCAAAAGTTTTGGGGATAAATCTTGGAGAAGACGAACTGACAGCACTTCAATCTAAATTTGCTTGCAAATTGGGGACTTGGCCGACCACATACCTTGGATTACCCCTTCATGGTAAGCATCGGTCTCTCTCTTTTTGGGACCCAATGATTGAGAAAATTCAGAAACGTCTCCTATCATGAAAATCCTCCTATCTCTCCAAAGGCGGTAGACATACACTCATCCAAGCCACTTTATCGAACCTCCCTACTTTCTATCTTTCCCTCTTCCCTTTGCCATCAAAAGTAGCACATACTTTGGACAACATCTACACAAGATTTCTGTGGAAAGGTAACAAGGACAGCAGTGGACTGCGTCTCATCAAAAAAGACACTATACAGCAACCAATCCATATAGGGGGCCTAGGGATTGCTAATATGAAGCTGAAAAACAGAACTCTCCTTGCTAAATGGATATGGAGATTTATTACAGAGGAAACAACACTTTGGAGGAAGGTGATCGAGGCAAAGTATGGTAAAGCATCATGGAACCTCAAACATATCTCTACATCACAACCCTCTGCAAAAAGCCCATGGGCTACCATTAGAAAGATGCAAAATTTGATTTTTGACCGGCTGGCCTTTAAAACCAGAAATGGAAGGAATATTCCCATTTAGGATCACCCTTGGCTGAATAGTTTGCCTCTTAAACAATCATTCCCCCTCCTCTTTGCTTTGTCAACAAGAAAGGACGTCTCAATCTCTGATATTTGGGATGAATCTACAGCTTGTTGGAATTTGGGATTAAGGCGGAATCTTAAAGATTATGAGATAATTGAATGGGCTGATCTTAGCTTTAGGCTAACAGAGTTTCACTTAACAACAAATAGGGATGTTGTATACTGGAAGCTAGAAGCAAATGATTCTTTTTCCACCAGCTCCCTCACAAAGGACCTCACACATAGCAACCAAACACCACAAACTAGCCTATACGGAAGGGAAAATAACCAAAAAAAGTGAATTTCTTCCTATGGGAACTTAGTCACCGAGCCATCAATACCAATGATAAGCTACAAAGAAGACTCCCCTTTATGGCTATTTCTCTACAATGGTGTATCATTTGCAAGAACAACATGGAATCTCAACAACGCCTCTTCACATCCTGTACTTTTTTTTCTTTTTTTATAAGAAACCGAACTTTTCATCGAGAATAATGAAAACAAAACAAAATTACACGGGCATACAAAAACACAGCTCCGAAAAAGGAAGCCAGCCTAGAGAAAGGGCTTCCAATCCAAAAGAATATGACCTAGCTGATAATTACATAATAAATTCGAAACAGACCCCATAAAGAGACATTAAACCTAATGAGGTCCCAAACAAACTCCCACTCCCTTTCCACTCCCTTAAACATTCTATTGTTTCTTTCCCCTCAAATGCCCCATAGAATCCCAAAAAAACCCCACCCGCCAAAGGAAACTCTCTTTCTCACGGAAGGGAGAATACATCAAGACTTCCTTCACATCTTGTACTTTTGCATCTGAATTTTGGAAGGACATCCTCATTGCTTTTGGTTGGTCCACAACATTACCAAATGACACTAAACTTCTCCTTGAGGCCACCCTAATGGGACACCCCTTCAAAAACATAAAGGAACAACTATGGACAAATTTCATTCGAGCATTTCTGTGGACTACTTGGGGTGAAAGAAATCAAAGGATCTTCCTTAACAAGTCACAATCTTTTGATCGTTTTTTTGATGCTATAGTGTTCAAAGCTATATCTTGGTGTAAAACCTCTCCTACTTTTCTTTACTATAGCTACACTTCCCTCCTATCAAATTGGGAGTGCCTTTTGTAACCCATCTATCGGCTTTTGTATTCCCTACTAAGGGCTCCTTGAAATTTCATACATCAATGAAATTGTTTCTTACACAAAAAAAAATACAATGCAACATATCCCGACTGCATTCTTAGCCAGACCTGGAAAACACGATAGGCTAATAAAACAATATCTACAGAAGCACACCTTGGGACCCTCTTTGATGAAAATATAGTTATTAAATCTTAAATAGTATGGACAAAATTTTCCATGCTACGTCTAGAAGAAGATTATTTACAAGCATATGAAAGTAAAGTAATGAGTAGAACAGAAGCTGTACATCAAATATTTAACAGCTTCCATAATTAAACATATAAAGGTTGGAGACACAATTTCAATCACATTAACAAATTTCACACAATTGACAACACTAATGAATCAAGTTCTTACTTGTCAAGACTTCTAATATATTTGTCGAAGACAAGAAAATGAAGTCGATGACCTGAAGAGCTCGTCAGTGAATCAAAAAGATTGTGGACAGTTATGATATCAGCAAGAGCAATGCAAGCAGGAGCTATCCGTGCAAAAGCTTCTGACCCAACAGTTTTCTTGTCATCAAACTGATCACCATAATATAAAAGTTTTAAAACACTAGTACCTCAAGAGCTCAGTCAATCCTAGCAAGAAAAGGCTTCTAAAGTACCCATCCTAGATATAAGATAACATAATGTGCCTAGCAAGTTGAGATAAGAAAACCAGAAAATTATTAACCTGAACAGCCATGTTTGTAGAATTTGAATAAAATAGTGACCACTCTTCCTTATCCTCTACTTCCTCATTACTGCAAGAAGCAGTTTCCTACAGTTGGAAAGAGGATTCAGAAACACAATCAATTCCTTCTCTCCCTCTCTTTCTACTTTCTTTGTAAATGAAGGAAAAAAAAAAGAAGCTAAAACATCCAATTCCACCCCTTCAAAACCCACCCCTCCCCATCAGAAAAATAAATGCATTTAAGAGATAATTTCACTCTTTCTTACTAAATATCAATGGAGTATAATGGTAGGCTGTCTCACTTGCAGGAGTGGTTCGCTTCCACTACCAGGGAACTCCCAAGCAAGCATCATGTCATATGTCAAGCGACGAAAGTCCTTGTCACTTAAATAATCTGGACGTTTGATAATTGAATAAAGTGCTTGGTATGAGCAAAATTCCAACAAACTTCTAGAATAAGTTTCAGGTTCCTTATTAATTCCAGGTAGCTCTGAATCAAAAAGATGTAGTATTTCTTCAGTGGACAGTTGAAGAATCCTGCATGTAATATAAATGCCTTTAGATGCATAAAAAGAAGAGGATACAAAAGCTGAAGTCAATGTCTAGTTCTGGGGACTGCGTTACAAATGCTGAATCCAAATATGCCTAATGTGACTTGCAACGTATCTATAAAAGAAATTAAATATGTGAAATCCTCTGGGTAAGACTAAGAATTTGTAAAAGCAATTTACTTTTATATTCCGAAAGTATAGGCCGTTTAGGAAGGAAACATAAACTATTTTGTTGCTCTAAAACAAAGCATATTAACTAACTGCAATATAGTTTTCTTTTCATGAGCAAAAGGAGACTAAATTATGTGCAATAATGCAACCGTAAATGAAAAATATTTTTAGAGGGTATCAAAATTAAGGTTATCAGATAAGACATTAGTAAAATTAAAACAATATTCTGGTTTGATAGTAGGAAGTCATTTGTTTGGTGGATAGATATGCTTGATTTTGATTGACGCGCTCATCGCTATACTCAGCATTATTGTCCATGGAGCATGAACGAAGTGATTGATTATGGATACACCAGTTCTTCCACAGTGCTAGAGAATCAGTAAATTGCAAATGATCAGAAGTTAATCATCCTAAAAATCACGCGTTATGACAACTTTTACTTAGCTATCTCACCAGTATGGCAGTATTTTCGCAGTATCAGATAATGGGTAACAAACATATCAATGTTCAAAGCCAAAAATACGGTAAAAAAAAGAAGATCACGGGTGATAAAAGCAAAATAGCAGAAGAAGAAATGGAGGAGGAATACTTGGAGCAGCGAACGACGACGGAATTGGCGAGGGAAGACAAGTTAGGGATGGATTTTGGAGAATCGGAAGGGGATGGTTCGTCGCCATTCCTGGATTTCTTGCGCTGGAAGATGGATCTGAACGTGTTGGGTTGATTCTTCATCAAGGTGTCCATCATTACGACCTTCACTTTCTTCGGCATTGTGGGTTGGAAACCAGAACACAGAACGGAAACTCGTAGAAATGAATTTGAAATTGACGAATGGGGCAATGACAGTTGAAGAAACGGTTGATTTGAGAAAGATGATTCGTAATCGTAATCTGTTGGTAGCCAACACCCCTCCACTCTCTCGTGTTCTTCCTCCCTCTGCTATGATCATCGGCGTAGAACCAAATGATAGAATAATAATTAATTACATGCCTCTTTTTTCCTTTTTTCTTTTTCTTTTTCTTTTTCTTTTTCTTTTTCGTTTTCGTTTTTTTGGGTTAAAGTTAAAATACTATTTTAATTTCGATATTTTTATTAAATATTTTCGATAAAGGTGCATTCCACGGAAAAAATAAATCTGAAAATAAGAGTCTCAATAAATCTCAATGTTTTTAGTGTTTTTATTTGAATATCAATTTGAAAAATTATTCAATGTATTACAAGTTAGTTTAATCTAATATATATACATATATATTTTCTTTTTAGTATAATAAAAGAAGGTAAGGAATTCGAATTCATTATACAAACATGCTAAACTAGCTCACGTTGGCTATTAATTTATTTATATATATGTTATAACTTTTATAAAATTATATTATTTATAATATTTTATATTTTAATTTTAACAAAAATTAAATGAGTTTATAATATGAAATAATATATATAGCAAAAATTTGTATACTTTTTTAACGTAATTATTTATTTTAAAGTTTCAAATTCAACATCTAAAAATTAAAAAAAATGTAGTTTTTTCAACACCCTTTTTTTTATATATTTGGCCACATAATCTGAAAACAGTTTTATAAACAAATTTTGATTATGTGAAAACAAAACGAGGTCCTTACTATACTTTTAACTTTTGTTTATTTTATTGGATGTACTTTCAAAACTTTTTGTCTGGTCCATGTACTTTTAGAAATTGATTGTCTCTCATTTTAATCCGATAACAATTTCATCTCGACATATTTTTTAAAACATGTCATAACTTTATACGTTTTCATTTTGCAGATTAATGGATAATTTGGGAAATGACTTCCTCGATTACCTTGTTGATGACTATTACGATGTGGCTAATTTTGATGACGACGACCCTTTTGGTGACGAAGAAACGTAGAGGAGCAGCGATGATGCTACAACATTAATGAAGTGAAAAAAAGTGGTCAAACACACAAAATACATTTGCAAACATTCCGAATTTTCTGCAATTAGGGTTCTTAGACAAACACTAACAGCATATGCGAACAATTTATAACTAAGTTAGGTAAAAGGTTTTAGTTGTGAATAGAAATTGTGTTAAATTTTTTATTTTATATTTTTTTAACTAAAAAAATTGTGTTAAAACTTTACAAACAAGTACCAAAATGATTAGATTTAAAAAATACAGATACCAAAATAAATACTTTGAAATGATAGACTAAAATGAATCAAATTTGAAAGTTAATAAATAATTCAAAGAATCACGTATTGTTATTGATGATATTTTAATACAATTCAATATCATCGAAATGTAAGGTATGCTGTCGAATTTACAAGCGAAACATTATTATGTCTATGAGATTAAACCTCAGGTTATTACAAATAAAAAATTAAACAATGAAATTATGAAATTAAATGTTATCACATTTATTACTACGTTCCTTCTAGTTCCTACAGTCTTTTTTATTTGTAATATACGTAAAAATAATTAATAAAAATGATTAATTTGAAGGACGAAAAGGTACCAAACTATCGTACTTGTATCGACATACATCAAAATGTTTTAACTTGAAAAAGAGACATATGTCTCTATTAGTAAAATTCAATATTGATAAATTGTGGGGAAAATAATGTATTTTATATTTATACTTTAAAGCTTTAAAAATTATTAATTGGAACCTATGATTTTTTTAGTCACCAAGATATATTTTTCTTTTTTAAATTTGACTAAAATTAAAAGTATTTATAAGGTAGGTGAATAAGATTTTAGGAAGCAATTATAATATAAAAAAACAATGATAAAATTATTAATAAATGAGGTACGAGCACCAAATGAGATTTAAAATAGTGTTAGTTTAGTTTTTAAAATAGAAGATAGAGAATAAAATAATGATCAAATTGGGTATTGTATTTTTCATAAACGAGTTATTTTAATAAAAATATAATATTCGGATTTTTAAATAGAGTAATTGTGGTGGGTAGCAAAAATATTTTATGTATTTCAAAAAATGTCACCAGCTTTCCAAAATTTCACATATAACAAAATATTTGAATTTTTATTTTCGAAATTTTTATTGTTTCAATTTTATCCTTATGATATCTGAAATATATATTCAATGTATATCTATATTTGATATACATTTGATATATATCATACATCAAATCTATATCTGATATACATATGATGTAAATTTGTATATGATATACATCAAATATATATCTAATGTACATCCGATGTAACTCTGATATACTTCCGATATACATTCGACATTCCCCTAATATACAGTATCAAATGTATCATGATATACATTATCAGATATACTACTGATATACATCAAATATACATATTATACATATCATATATATATATCTGATGTACTTCTAATTTATGATATACTAAATATATTTGCAACTGATATACTAAAAATAAGTTATATCAGATGTTTAATTTTTAGTGGTATATCAGTTGTTTAAATTAGAGTTTATCATTTCAATTTGTCGATTAATATACTAATATTATCAATAATATTACTATATCACTACTATTTATTCAATATTAATATTAATTAGATACTAAATAGGAGGGATATCGACTATTTAAATTTATAAAGTATATTAAAATTTTAACTTGTCTTTTTGGACGTGCATGATCCACATAAACTTTTTCTATAATAACTTTATATTTCAAAAATAAAAAATAAAAAATCTTGCACCATTGACCAAAAAGAATTGGATATAATAGTATGACATGAACCTACATATATCATAATTATATTAGTAGATATAATGGTTATATTAGAGGTATATAAGTGGTAAATTAGAAGCATATTCAATTTATATCAGTGTTATATTAGTGGTAAATCATATAATCAATATCTTTAGATACCATAGTTATATCAATGATATATCATTTGTATATTAATGGTAAATTAGAGATATATCAAATATATATCACATATATATTATATCATCGTGGTAAGTCAATGATTATCATACGTATATCGACGGTAAGACATATTAGAAGTTGATTAGATATCATGGTTATACCAGAAGTAAATCAATTATATATCATTATTATATAAGTGGTATATATTAGTGGTCAAATATATTACAGATATATATCAGATATATTAAATGGTGAATTTGTAATTTTACAATTGAACCTCCGTTTTTTCTGAAAAAAAATATTATATTTGAAAAAACTAAATATGGTTGCTCTTGTACTTATTTTACTAAATTTTTTTGCTATATTTGCAAGTGTCACTAACGTATACACGAACTTTGACATATAGCTCTTTTATTTACTTAATCAATAAATATTTACATAAATAAATATGTGATAGTTGGATGTAGAAAATCTAATTATATTTTGATTCCAAGATCTTATTATAAATTATAATTTAATATAATGTGGAGGGACTATAACATACGAGCCAAAAAAATACAAAAGAAGTTTTAAATTAAATAAATGTTTTGGTTTAAGTAACTTTTTTTATTTATTTAGTTCTTATTATTAAAACAAAAAACTTTTTTTTTCAATTACATTTGGGTGAATTTTAATTTCACTAATCATAACATGATATTTAGTGAGATGCATATTTATAGAACAAACTAGGTTGAATGGTAGGAACAAATTCCAAGATCGCCCTCTAAAATTATAAGAATTTGTCATAAATTTTGACTATTCTTCTCCAAATGGTCTAATTTACCATTTAAATTTAAACAATTCAATAATATCATGTTATATAAATTTATCATCGACCATTCTTCACTAGCACAAATTATATAATTAAAAATAGGAAAATTGAGTAGGTAGCAATTCACATTACCATATGATTGTGATTTTACAAATATAACAACTAAAAGAAAACTGCTTACTTATTTATAAATTTTTATGTAATTATTCTTTTATCATCATAGATAATTTATTCATGCCTATAATGATCAAATATATCAGAGATATACGTTTGATAAACTATATCATTAAAATTTTCAATTATGATGTAAACTAATAGATGTTTTAAGATATATATATTTGTTATATTTGTAAATCTAGAATGTTGTTGCACTTCGACTTATTTTGTCATATGTGCATATGCAAGTGTCCCATTGAAACATTTTTAAAATGTAAAATTATAAAACAACCAAATAAAACCTTTTGAACGATACAAAATAAATTTTAAAAAAATACCTGAATAGTACTACTACAAACATATATGATTTTTTTTTTTTGATAAAACTAAAACATATACGATTAAAATACTATTTTGGGTCTAGATCTCTGTACTTTTAAAATACTCATTTCAAGTACCTTGGACTCTCTCAAGAAATAGAAACGTTACCAAATCGGCTTAAATTTTTGTTTATTTTATTTTTCATGTTCATTTTTGTCCCTAACATTTTTCAGAAGAGACCATTTTAGTTCCCTAATTTTATTTATAATCTCATTTTTTTAATCATAATTTCGATATGACACTACACTCAACATATTTGTTGAAATGTAATCATGATTTTACGTTAAGTAGTTTTTGTTATGTGTAAAAAATTCGAAGATAGGAACCAAAATGGTCACTTTTTAAAAGGACAAAGATAAAAATAAATATTTTAAAAATATAAAGAAAAATATGAATCAAATATTTAATGGAAAATTAAAATTAAAAAAAAAAATCCGGAACCAAAATAGTTTGACTTTGACCTAAAGACAGTTCATAAAAGTAATTTTGTTTTTGTCAAATAAAGCAGCACAAAATATAAACTCCTTTTTCTTCTATTCCACTTTTCAAAGTTCAACCATCTAATCATCTATTTTCCATTGATTTGATTCCATTTGGGAAGAACAATGGGTCAAGCTGAGAGCGTAGCAGCGGCATCGCCTCCAAACGATCTTCCTCAAAGCCGGAATTCAGCTGCAACTCCCGTCTCCAGTTCCTCTCGCGATCCTCCTTCCATGGATTCTCTAATTGCTGGTCCGTCGCCTCCTTCATGAGTTCTTTTTTCTCGTTTTATTCAGTTTGTGTTGCGGGTGTCTGTAGAGCGATCCTTTTCATACCAGAATGATTCGTGTTCAAGAAATTGAAATTTCGAATGCTAAAAAGGATCCAAATCCAAGGACTGTCATGAATTTCGCCTGAATTTAGAAATAGATTTTGTTTTTATGCTTTATAACGTAGTTTGTCGGAATGGCATCATGTTCTTATTGAGGCTTCTGGTTATCTGAGAGCTGACCATTGAGTTGAAGAGATATTGTTAAGGTAGGTGGCAAGGTTACAGAATACATGAGCCTTTACTGGAAATACTTCAGAAAAGTAGAGCATCTTACTACATACGTGTGAAATACTTAGCTGCTAGCACAAAACTTAAATGCAGGTAACAGGAGAAAATGTATGCCGTATGGCCTGTTGAGGCGAAGGGAGTATATTTATTATTTATCATTTATGGCCTGCTTCGTTCATAGTAACAGTACCAATGGGACTTTGGTAAGGTTATAACAATAAGCAAAGTGATCGGGTTCTGACGTACTTTACTGTGGGTGACTATGGAGACAGGCTGGTTTACGAAAAAGGATTCTGGAAAGAGGGGTTGGTAACAGAGTACAAAGAGTTGCCACTCAAATAGGGAAGGGGAGCCAAGAAAGGATAGAATTAGGGGGAGAACGGGTATTGGTAGAGTTTAGAAGAAAACTTGAAGCAACAAGGAAGCTGTCCAGTATGATACTATATTTAACAAAGTGATACCTCAAAGTATGATACTGGAACTTGGTGGATTGACTGTGTCTATGCTAACAGTAACATGCTGTAGCAAAGGTTTTGAGAAAAGAACAAATCGGAGGAGAGTTATGGAGAAGTTAAAAAGGAGTTGGCCTTGAAGAACTGGTATGAAGTGCCTATTCATTAAATAAGCTATAGTACAAAAGGCTCCACCAATTAAAGTAGCATATGTGCTTGAGCTAGGAGTGTTAATCCTGTTTCAACAAGAGAGTGATGCTTTATTTCTGCTCTCTCAATTTTGACAGAGGTATAGGAGGGACAAGATAATCTAACGTGGATTCCTTGTTTTTCATCTAATTAAACAAGTGGTAACTCTCGTCCACCATCAAGTGAAAGGGCTAGGATTTTTGTTTCAAGTTTGGTTTCAGTAAGAAGATTTCCTCTTAGTTCACTCTTTAGGAGGACAAAAAAACGCCCACAGTTAGAATAAATAGGTGCAGGCCTCCACAGATCTCAATGCAAAAGAGCCAGAAGTTTATTTGATTGGGAATTGACTTGGGGAAGAAGTTTATGAGATTTATCAAATTGGCAAGCTTTACAAAATGATACTTCTTCGTTGATTTGACCTTGCTGGCTACAGAAATTCAAAATTTCGAAACTTTTCTAGATGGGTGGATCAATTTGCCATGCTAATCATCCAGTACAGGATGAGGCCGCATAGTATTTAGAATTACAGAAAATTGCTTGAGAGTTGAAGTTATTGGAACTTAGAGAACTAACAATAGAAATTTAGTGGAAGACTGCTTTTTTGGCCATTCTATGGAACATCTGGCTTGAGAGGAATAAGAGGATTTTTAAGGGTGAGAAGAGGTGCTGGGGGAGGTTTGGCCTGCAGTTAGGTAATACCTCTCTGTAGGTGTCAGTGACAAAAGAGCTGGGTAGTTATCCTGTAGTTATTATTCTTAATACTTGAAGTCCTTTCTCTTAGGTTTTTGTTGGGCTCCCTTCGACCTTGTGGTTGGCCTAGAAAATACTAACCATCGAGGTTTGTCCATGTGGGGATTAATAGGCTCCTCAAACCAGTTCTTAAAGGCCAAACTCCTTTTTAACCATGTAGATTAACCATTAAGGTCGTGAAATCTTATTCAGGTAGGGGGGGAGATTAGGTATATATGGGGCCAAACTGAAATTACTTCTCAAAAGCAAAGTCACTAACCACCACACTTGTGAAAATACGAAGCTAGCATCACAAAAGATGACAAAAAAGGAAAAAAAAAAAACTTAATAATACTGCCGCTTAATAAGAAACAGAACGATATTATTTGTCCAGAGTGCTCTGACAGTTCTTTGTTTTAAATTTTGGTATGATTTAAGTACACAAAATGAAATGATATTTGCAATTCCTGTTATACTAATTTTGTTTGAACGTGTTAAATCTGAGGACATTTTTGGTAATCACCCAGCTTTTTCATTCTTACAGAAGCTGCGGCTTATGGTAATGAAGCAAATGAGGTTTGTGCACTTTAAAGATGTAAGCTTCCTTTTGAAATTGCCAAATTGGGATAGCAATCAAAGAAGTTGACCTATGCTTCTTTCAGTCTCTTGATGCCAAAGCTAACAGAGCATTGGAGTGCCCCTGCATAGCTGACTTGCGTAAGGGTCCATGTGGGGTTCAGTTTTCTGATGCTTTTCTCTGCTTCTTCAAGAGTACTGCAGAGGAAAAGGTAAGAAGACTAAACAAGCATTAATTTCTTCGAGTATCGTTGATCTTCACAAAAATTTGTTGTTTTATGTTTGAGGAAGGGCTAGGTCGAAGTGAAGTTTGAATATATGGTGCATGTCATATCTGAAATAAGAGGAAGAAGAGAAATTTTGAAGAAAAATAAGTGAAGAAGTGTCAATTTTGTGATCCTCAATCACAAATAATGCGACAATTTTCAAAATTGGAAATCTTTTTTGTTAGCTCCATTTTTAGTTTCTTGATTTTGGGTGAGACATCCTGTTTCGCTTATTCTCAGTCTTATGCAAGCAAAAGGCCATTTATTATGATCAGAAAAGGAAAAGGAAGTCATGGGTGAAATTTTTAGTTTAATTACATTTTCAATCCCCATAGGCCCATCTTTCCACAATTTTAAAAGTTTTGTCATGGTCTTTTATTCTTTGCAATTAAGCTTACCATCTGTTCTTGACATTAACGAGTGACAAGTTATTTGTGAATGTATCATATAAGTTTTATAACATGCCATTTTATTTTAATAATGCAGGAGTTTGATATGTCACATTAGTTGAAAAATATGAATCGATAATGATATTGAAACAGTAATTTGGTTGAAAAATAGAAAAGAGTTAAACTCTAATCCCATTTTTCAATGCAACACAATTACCTATGCTCATTTTGATTTCTTCTTTTGTAGTTCAATCCTAAATAACTCGTGTTGAATGTCTGTTACTAGTAGAAACATCTGATTAGTGTAGGACTCAAAATATAATCTAACCGAACCTTTTTAAAGGTTTGTGGGATGAAGTTTTGCTTTTTAGAATCTTTACAGAGGTACATGCTAACAGCTAAATCGTGATTGGTTTTCCCAAAGGGATCGGACTGTGTGCATCCTTTTGTGGCTTTGCAGAGCTGCATAAAAGCGAACCCGAACGCGTTCTCAAAGGATATCTTGGACGAAGAAGAAAAAGAAGAAAAGGAAAAGGAGAAGGCAGAAGAGCCCGCTGAAGATTACAGAATCATTCCTCCTTCATGGTCTAGAGAACCTCAAATTCCCAAGTCCAAGCTTTAACTAGAACCATCAACTTCCATTTTTTCTGTCATGGTAAGATTATTATGATTATTTTGTCTGGGGTGTAGACTACATTCTTATAATTGTTAACCGAATTTTTAACCGTAAGGACTAAATTGTTACTAATTTTAAAGTATAGGGATTAAATCGTTATCAAAAGTTCGTTTTTTTTTTTTTGGTAATTTCTCAAATTACTTACGGTTTGAACTTTATTTTTCTCAAAACCCAAATAATAATTTTACATGGATGAGAAAGTTATAAAGTTTGTGGGTTTTTATTGTAATATTAGGTGATGAATTTTATTTTTTATGGCAAATAAATAATGGAGGAATTTTATTTTTATGGCAAATAAATAATGAATAGCGTGTCCTCAAAAAAAAAAAAAGAGAGATTAATTTATTTTATATTAATTCTCAAATATAAATATTATAATTATTATATACAAATTTCAAAAATTAATTATTTGAACTGCTAAATAATATAAATGTTTAATTTATATATATATATATATATAATTTTAATATATTTGTTGATAGTTAATTAATTTTATTAAAATAAATATAAAATTTAAAAATTTTCTCTATGAAGAATCTCAATCCTCGAAGATTCTTCGACATTGACCGCAATTGTCAATCGTGAGAAATTTTTCGAGGATGGAGAATTAAATGGGAGGCAAATAGGGATGGAGATGGGAATTAAACATTGACCATAGTTTAGAAGTGCAACTCTAAACTGAACAAATGTTATCTGGTTAAGATAATATATCTTCGATCCAAAGATCCGAAATTTGAATTTCCATCCTTCATGATATTAGTAAAATAGTAAAAGAAGAATAATAATAATAATAACCAACGAGTTACAAAATAATAGTAATAATAATAATAATCTAAAAAATAATAATAAATGAATTCATCATATTTTTATAACTTAGAGTTGCAAAGTTGAGTGTAGATTTGCTAGGTAACTTTACTTATCTTAAACTATGTAAATTGATGCTACACTATTAAAATTTATGTTTTAAAAATCGTCTCTCAGGAATTAATATTAATTTGTACAAAACTTATACTAATTACAGCCTCATCAATCAAGTTAATTCGAGAATAGTTCAATAGATAAGACACCTATTATTATTGTAAAGATCGTTGGTTCGATCTGACCCTTGTGCCTACAATCAAATTCAAACAATACGTACATAAACCGTGAAGCGTTCTTAATCTTCAATATAAGATTCTTTAAATCTAGACTACACAAACTTATATACTCGTCGAATCCATAAACCAAACGGCCCTTTAATATGTCGAAAGATTAATATTCTGGTTGGTCATAGCTCCACCAACCCCATTTCAAATCTTCTCACTCCCTTATATGGTATCATATCATTCATATTTGGCATCTAAACAGTATCATTTCCTAATGTCTACGACATCTTACACCTTTAATGGATTCTCACTTTTATGTTTTTTTTTTTTTAATCTTCTTAGAATATAAGAGTTTATAGGTGGGGGAAGATTTAAATTTAGGGAGGGAGAAATTAGGGAGAAAACTTTAATGTCTTAAATCTATAATTTTTTTTAATCTAATACCGAACCATGGGGTAATAGTACCCATCCTTCCTTTTTCACTCCATTCCTTCGAGATGGAGTTTTTAGTACGTAATTGGGTTTTGTGTTAACCTGAGCATAACAATCGATTGGTTTAGATACATCTATACCCAATCAAAAGATCGTGAGTTCGAATCTCCACATTCACATATTATACTTAAGAAAAATAAAAATTAATTGGATTTTGTGACTAACTCTTCATTTAATTTCTCTAGCAATTTGAAGGTTAAAAGGTTAAATTACAACTTTGGTCCATAAACTTTTAGATTCTTGACTAATAGGTCCTTGAACTTTATAAGAAGTATGTAATAAGTTCCTAAGCTTTCAATTGTGTCTAATAGGTCGATAAACTTTCAATTTTGTGTCTAATAGATCTTTGACCTAATCGATACATTTTAAATTAATGGATCTATTAGACATAAAATTAAATTTTGTATTTTATAGGATCCTAAATTTTCAATATGCATGTCAAATGATACATTTCATGAATTTTTAAAAAATTAATCAGAATAGGTCAACAACTATTAGACACAAAACTAAAAGTTCATAGACCTATTAGAACACAAAATTGAAAATTTACGAATCTATTAGACACGTTTTAAAGTTTAGAGACCACATAAAATTGTAAATTTAAGGACATATTATACACTTTTTAGTTCAAACCACTTTCTCTCTTTCTTTTTATTTTATTTTATCTTTTTGTTTATTTGTTTTTGCTTTTTTGTTTTTTTGTCAATTTCTAGCCTCTTTTTTTTTCCAAGTATAATGGGTGGGGAGAAGTGATTGGAACTCATAATCTTTTAGTCGTACCAATTATATGAACTCATGAAGCCTCTTTCTAAAGTTAGAAATAAAAACAAATTTCTTCCAATTCAATCAAGTTATCCCCTAATCTTCTTACCAAGAATAATGTTTTTAAGGCTTTTTTTCTTTTTCTTTTTTTTTTCGTCCTCAAATTATTGATTTTTGTGAAGGATATAGGACTTTCGCCCACTAAAGATATCTTTCAATTTTTCTTTTGATTTGACGATTTGGTCCTCTTCTGATAAGAGAGCTTGTCCTCTTATAATAGCTTGAATTAATTCTTTCTATTTTTTTTAATTCAACGATTACAAGATGGAAAATAGAATCATGACTTTAAAATTTTAAATCTGTAAATAAGTAGTTTATCCACGTAGCAATGTTGAGATCAGCACCCATAGGATGATGTTTGGCCACTATTCTTACTCTCCGTCTATTATTTGATAGTTATTCTCACATTAATTTCCGTTCTTATTAATTCTACTATACTCATTTTTGTAGCACAAGTATTAATTAGGAGTTTGATTTGTTAGTATTTTGGAACTTTTTTTGGGTAAAGACAAAATTTTATATTCTAGTTACCTCTTTATATAATCTTTTGATTCTAAAAATTTAGACACGCAGGATAAAAGAAAAGGATAGAATCTCAAAGTATTTTATATATACTTTTTGAATTTCGAAGTGGGTCACATAATCTATATTAATTAGAAGGCTTAAACATATTTTACCAAACTAAACTCTTCACATCAAATAACACCCTACTGTATTATCTTCGCTAAAAAAGTCAGCAACCAGTGACGACGTTGCCTCGGACGGTAGCGGAACCCAAGCAGGCAGCCGATGATGGTGGTCGGGGCAGCAGCTTGGGGGCGGTCGGTGGCCGGGAGGAGTAGCCATAAGTGTAGGCACAGCCAGTGCATAACACCATTGGAGGTGCTGGTTTTGGAGAAAATTGGGTAATTCAGTGCCATTGATATTGGTGTGGCTGATCATGATCTGCTTGCTTTTACCTGAGCTTTCTTGTTGCTCAACAATGGAAGCTGAGGGCTTGGAAATGGACATTAATGGCTGCACTACTGTACTTTGATCATCATGATCACCAGAGTAATTAATTTGATTGAAATTGTTATTGCCTTGGCTCCAAATTTGTGCTTGTTTTCCAGCTTTATGAAGCTTCTTTATGAGAATTTGGGGGTCAACATTACCAAAAATGCTCACTTTTGGCTGTAGTGGGTCAATTTCTATTCTCAAAACACCTGAAAATTCAAAAACAAAAATGGGTTTTTAAAAATTAAAAAAAAAAGCTGAAAAATTTGCATAATTTTTTATAAGATAATTAAGAACAACCTGAAAATTTTTGTACCTTCAATGCTATGCAGTGCCTTTCTCACTTTCCTCTTGCAACCATCACAACAAATGACTGAGACTTCCAATTCCACCTTCTAAAGAGGAGAGAGAGAAGTTGAATTAGAAATTTTATGGGAAAAAGGGCAAAAAGGTCATTTCCTTTGTTTCAATTCAACAACAACATGAGGGTCGGGGTCAGAATTCAAACATTTAATCTTTTGGTCGAGAATATATGTATCTTAACCAGTTAAACTATACTCAAGTTAACAAATAATTAAGCGAATAAAATGGAAAAAAAGGTGCAAAGGGCAAACCTTTAGGTCAGCTTCTTCTATTGCCATATAATTTGATATGGTAAGAGTACTTCTATTTTATAGAGAGAGAGAGAGAGAAAAAAGTCAGCTCCCACTAGGTTTGTTTGATGATTTTTGAGGTGTATTTATATATATGGTAATTTGACAATAAATTTAATTTTGTGAAAAAAGAGATGGGGTTGGGGATTTGAATATAAGAGGAGTTTTATTATTAGCCTTTGCTTTTTTGTAATACT